AAATTGCAAACATTTTCTAAGTCAAGGGCAATAACTCTAAAAATACTAAATAAATCCAGGTAAAAATTCCCAGGTGCACAACTACACATGCTGATCAATATTCCTGTAAAGTATCATGACTCTATGTCAAATCCTTTTTGAGTTACATGCGACACAAGTTGAAAATTGCAAAATTTTACTTAGTCAAGGGCAATTACTCTAAAAATACTAAAAATATCCAGAGGAAAATACCCAGGTGCACAAGTACACATGCTGATCAACATTCATGTAAAGTTTCATGACTCTAGGTCAAATACTTTTTGAGTTACATGCGACACAAGTTGAAAATTGCAAAATTTTACTAAGTCAAGGGCAATAACTCTAAAAATACTAAAAATATCCAGACGAAAATACCCAGGTGCACAACTAAACATGCTGATCAACATTCATGTAAAGTTTCATGACTCTATGTCAAATACTTTTTGAGTTACATGCGACACAAATTGAAAATTGCAAAATTTTACTAAGTCAAGGTCAATAACTTTAAAAATACTAAAAATATCCAGACGAAAATACCCAGGTGCACAACTAAACATGCTGATCAACATTCCTGTAAAGTTTCATGACTCTAGGTCAAATACTTTTTGAGTTACATGCGACACAAGTTGAAAATTGCAAAAAAATTTACTAAGTCAAGGTCAATAACTCTAAAAATACTAAAAATATCCAGACGAAAATACCAAGGTGCCAAGTACACATGCTGATCAACATTCCTGTAAAGTTTCATTACTCTAGGTCAAATACTTTTTTGAGTTACGTGCGACACAAAAGAGAACAGACGGACGGAAGGACGGACGGACGGACGGACAAGGGGTAAATCTAAATGCCCGCCACTAAAGTGGGGGCACAAAAACCGACTATGGACACACTGAACAAATAAATTATTATTTGAAAGCAAATTATAGTAAAAATGACAGCAACAAAAGGATGAAAGGATTTAGATTCGGTATAATATAACAAAAAAAAACATGGCCTTTCGGGCAAAATGCTAATTTATGGACTGGTTGGTCAGACTTCGGAAGGTATATGTCCCTCAGCTGCGCTTCAGGCCATATACCTTCCTCAGTCCGTAAACTTACATATTGCCCTCAAGGTCATGTTTTATGTGTTAAATAATGATTCAGCCAATTATTCGTTGGTGCGTTTTTTTTATTTAATTGCATTACTTGATTGTGAATTTTTTAAATAATAACATGTGTGTTTCGGCATCACTGGTCTGAAGTGTTGCGACCGGTAGACCGTTGATTTTTTTATGTTTCGTTTAAAATTATGCCACCGCAAGATGTAAAGTGAACTTTGATATCAGCTGGCCTAGATTTTGACAAAGTGTCTTACTGTGTTGTCCTTTGATGTACAGTCATGGAATTTTGGCCATGTGAAATATGACCTTCACCATCAAATTCACTAGACTCAAATGCATTGATATATTCCTACTTTTATTTGAATAACAATAGATTTAACCACTAATCTGATAATAAGAATTAGATAGGTCAGTTATCTATGCATTATGGCAATCTTCCATTGTATAGGAACAAAAATAATCTGTTCCTGCATTACTATTTAGTGTTGTATTAATGCGGTGGCATTTTTCACAAATGCAATCTTGTTTTGGAATTGTTACGCATTTGGTTGGATTGAAATTTCACACACTTGTTCTCTGTGATTATCTGACATGATTGGCTCAAATCCCATAATTCTGATTTGCTTTTTTTGCATATTTATACCCCTTTTACGACTTAGAAATTCTTGGTTAAGTTTTTGCGTGTAAGCTGGTATCTCCATAACTACTAAAGGGAATGGATTAAAACTTCCTACACTTGTTCTTTGTAATTATCTAACATGATTGACACAAGTCCCATAACTCTGATTTGCTTTTTTGCATAATTATGCCCCTTTTTCGGCTTAGAAATTCTTGGTAAAGTTTTTGCATGAAAGCTTGTATCTCCATAACTACTGAAGGGTTTGTGCCTTTTTCGGACAATTTTATGCATTCATAATAATAAAGCTGTGATTTACTTGATAACAAGCCTTTGTACGTTTTCGGACAATTTAATGTATTCAATTTCATATAGGTAAGCATTATTATACTCAATGAAACACCCTTGTTACAACTTTTTCGAATTATCGAGCGTCGCTGTCCTCCGACAGTTTTTATTTCTTTTTATTATACCCCGCCGAAAGGTAGTGGGAGACATAGAAATAGTCTCCGTCCGTCCTTCCGTCCGACATGTTTGTCCGGAGCATACTGTTACCCAATTTATATTCGCGAATACAAATTTTCGCGTTTTGCTGAGGTCGGACATATTCGCGAATATTAATTTCCGTGTTTTCTTGATTTCCGAAAAAAAATATTCGCGGATTGGAAAGTCCGATGGGGCCGTAAAATCCATTAGCCGACTATTAATCTTCAATAATTGAGGTCATTATTGGTGTCTTAAATGGGATTAAGAATACGCTAGTCTTATATTGTATTGGTAAGTGAATTGTGATCACGGAACGTGATTGACGATGGGCCTATATACTAGTATTTCATAAACTGTATTAAAATGTGGATGTTTATTTTGATTGCTATATTGACAGAGAGTTCTTTTGATATTTATTACATTGTAGTAGTTTACTTAGTTTGTGTTTTTATTGCTTTATGGCAATATTCATATCAATTCATTACTTCCTAACAGGTGCCCGTAAAATTCGAATATATCCGGTCAAGTAGCTTTGCATGAACAACGTCTAAAATAAAAATTTCTCTCCAATTTATTTGCGAAATCGGTCGGACTTACTCGCGCAAACAAATATTCGCGCTTCGTGGCCATCCGCGAATAAAGCGAATATTAATTGGTCGCGAATATTCGTTGGGTTACAGTATCTCAAAAAGTATTTGAGGTTACTGTATCAAATTATAATTTCATAGGTTGATAGATCATATTGAGGAGGAGTGCAGTGCACAAGAATGATAACACTACTCTGCATAACTTTTCAGTTATTGCCCTTTCTTATTTTTCAAACTTAATTTTTGTCCAGAGCATAACTCATAAAGCCTTAGAGACATCAACATGAAACTTCATAGGTGGATAGATCGCGCTCATGGGTGTGCGGTGCACAAGAATGATAACTCTACCTTCATAAATTTTTTAGTTATTGCCCTTTGTTATTTTTCATACATAATTTTTCACCTGAGTGGAGCATAACTCAAAAAGTCTTTGAGATGAAAACGTGAAACTTCATAGTGGATAGATCTTATTGAGGAGGAATGCCGTGTGCAAGATTTATAACTTTACCCTTTATAATTTTTGAGTTATTGCCCTTTGTTATTGTTCATACTTTTTGTCCGAAGCTTATCTCAAAAAGTGTTAGAGGTATCAACTTGAAACTTCATAGGTGGATATATCTCATTGAGGAGGAGTGCATCGCACACGAATGATAACGCTATAGTGCATAATTTTTCAGTTATTGCCCTTTGTTATTTTTCATGCTGATTTTTTGTCCAGACAGCAACTCATTAAGTATTTACTATATAAGGTATTCACTTGAAACTCAAAATATAACTTAGTCTCTGTCAGTCTGTCTTTGCGTCCGCCCATCTGTCCGTCCGTCCTTTCGTCCAACATTTTTGTCCGCATCATATCTCAAAAAGTATATGAGGTATCAACTTGACACTTCATAGGTGGATAGATCACATTGAGGAGGAGTGCAGTGCACAAGAATGATAACACTACCCTCCATAATTTTTCAGTTATTGCCCTTTGTTATTTTTCAAACTTAATGTTTGTCCAGAGCATAACTCATAAGGCCTTTGAGATATCAACATGAAACTTGATAGGTGGAATATCTTACTCAGGGGGGGGGGGTGTGCAATGCACAAGAATGATAACTCTACTCTTCATAATTTTTGAGTTATTGCCCTTTGTTTTTTTATTCTTAATTTTTCACCTGAGTGGAGCATAACTCAAAAAGTCTTCGAGATGACAACATAAAACTTCATAGGTGGATTTATCTTATTAAGGATGAATGCCGTGCGCAAGATTGATAACTCTACCCTTTATAATTAATGAGTTATTGTCCTTTGTTATTGTTCATACTTTTTGTCCGGAGCTTATCTCAAAAAGTGTTAGAGGTATCAACTTGAAACTTCATAGGTGGAGGAGGAGTGCAGCACACAAGAATGATAATCTACCCTGCATTAATTTTCAGTTATTGCCCTTTGTTATTTTCAGCCATCAGTATTCACATAGGTTTCAAATCTGTAATTACTTCAGCTATCAGTTTTCATTACCAAAAGACCTCTTAAAATTGAATTATTCTGCTCTACTACATATACATTATTCCGATGAGCAAATACATTCGGCGGGGGATGGCCATGTAAACATGGCTCTTGTTACTTTTGAAATTTAAGTTATTTATAAATTTCAGCTTTGCTTCCCTCTAAACAGCCCTGGCAGAATTGTAAGCAAAATTGAAATTAAGGTACCTCATTGGGAAATCTTTAAAACGTAATTTCGTCATTGAAAAGTGTGAAATTATGGTTAATAATTTTCACTGTGGAATTATCAAATATAATTTTTACGGATGAATCAGTAACCCACTCAAAAGCATGAATAAATCATGTCACTGTACTTTTCATGTCATTGTATGTATGTTTGTATATATGTTAATCACGAGACACTTGAAGTTTAAGTGATAAGCTCTTTTTCTTCTACTATTTTTCATATAGACTCATATAGAGAAAATCTTTAAACATTTTCTGCTCTCAAAAACATTGATTAGTGCTATTTTGTGGTTAGTCTATTTATGTGCGCTAATGTAATTGATTTCAGGTGAGCGATCAAGGGCCATCTTATCTGTCTTGTCTAGATTGAAATATGTTTTAGTTTAATAATGTTTCTTGTCAAGTAGTTTTTTTAATGATTGGTAATGCGTCCTAGTTTTACAGAGAAATAATTTAATTCTTTATTCTCTCTTAGATACGCGAGGCAGTGAGACCGAGGCCTGACTGGGGACCAAGATTAAAGGAAAACCGAACTGGAAGATATTATGGAGACAGCTATGGTTACGAATCGGACGAGATGGCTGGGATAGTTCCAAATGTGTATGTCGTAGAAACGAACATACATTCGCCGGAAAATGGTTACAAACTTTAGATGAAATGTAGATCAGTGAAATGTGTATCTACTATAGTTTTCCCATTGTAATGTTTTAATTATATGTATAGATCTAACCCGTAATAACCGTAAAAGTTAAATGGTAAACTATTGGACACTTTGTGTGTGTTTTATTATGTCGTAAACTGTTTTCGCTTGGCATGCGTTTGATATTCTATTCATAGAAATGAAAAACATGTATTTATTCTTGGTAGAGCTATTAAGTAAAGTAATTGTGTAAAGAGTGTGTTGCACGAGATTTTCGTGAATCAACTAAGCGTGTCAGATTTTTATGTATCAAATCACTCGAGGTAATTGCATTGCTTTATTCGCATGTTTATTTTTCCATCCCATCCCTCTAACCCTTACGTAATAGTTACCGTACGAGGAATAGGTCTGCATAGTATTTACAGACCCGGATGGCGATTTGAAGACCGAGAGAGCGTAGCGATCGAGGTTTTTAAAAGGCCACCGGGTCTGTAAATACTATGCAGACCTATTCCGAGTGCGGTAACTATCTTACCTACATGCTCTTTTGTTTTTCTATCCATACATCAGTATTTATTAATATTACTCACAAGAAACATATTACTTATGTACTTTATCATGTTTAAGAAAACATTCCAAAGCAAAGCAAAGATACCATCCGCTACGCTCTTGTAATTTGTTCGTTCACAAATCATGTGTTATTTGAATATTCTCGTGATTTTCGTGGGGTTTCATTAAGTAATAAGGTCAGGTAATGTACTTGTTGAGTTGAGTCACAGAAAATGAGTCGAGTAGGGAAAGGTAAGGTCATTATTTTGATATTGTCAATATATGAATACATAACATTTTAATAATATAAACAAACACTGAGGAAGATAAAAATGTTTTCTAATCATAAAAACGGAACACTTTATCTTTATATACAGGGCTGGGAATCAAAACTGCGTCGTATCCTACAAAATGTAAACAAACGCCGCCATCTTGGAACGAAAAACGTATGTTTATGTTTATAACTCTTTTTGTTGGAAATGACTGAAAAACAGATACATGTATTAACACGCTACACTATTTTCCGCTTCGTTCGGTATATGTTGCTTGCACAACTATTTTGTAAAACAAAAGTTATAGCGAACTTGCAACTCGAAGCGGAGCAGAATTTTTGTGAAAATGTGTGGATACGACGCAGTTCATATTGCTTTATACATTGTTTTTTCCTTCAAATAAATTATATACTCATTTCAGAGTTTACCATTAACTTTGAAATATGATTTTGCATCATTTACTAAAATTTCATAAGAAAGAGATATTTATTTTCTAAGAAAATAATGATTTTTACGAAATGATACGACGCAGTTGAAAATAAAATATGATACGACGCAGTTGTTTTTTTTTTTGGGGGGCAGTCTTTTCAACAGGGATAATTTTGGCAATATATGTCTTTTTTATGGAATAATCACTTGCGCTAGAAAAACCCAGATTATTTTCGGTGTATAGCGATGTTCTATTGCTTTTGATTATTTAGAATACATTGTGTCATGCCCAATATATATTTAATTTGATAGTTCACATTGTGGAAGCTACTTTACAGTTAAACATGAACATGTTACTTAATATTTATCATATTTTTTTTGAAATAATTTCTTATATTTTCCTGTATGTTCAAAATTATCCCTATTTTTTGGCAAAAAAATATAGAAGTCTATGAACCTGAATTTTAGCTAGCTACGCTCTAAGAAACTGTGGTTCTGCATGTTCTGGGATATGACTGTTTTTTGAGGTTTGTTTTCAAACTTTCATTTTACTCATTATTTTTACTCGGGGCGAAGACCTCAGGTGAACCTTTGTGTATTATTTCAGGCAAAATATTGCACCTGCAGAGAACCATCGACATTTTGAAACTACATCTAGCTTGATAGGTTTACACACGAAAGAATCAAAAGTCCCTGGTTGTTTTCGAATTCATAGCAGTTCAGTTCAAGTGATTTGAATTCAGTAAACATAAACAGCTCGGCTTCGGTCGAACAACTCTCTGATTTTTTCAACAATTTGTTGACGTCAGCTGTACAAATAAGCACCTTTAGTTGTTTTTTTATTAACTTCTGGCGTGAAGTTTTAATATTATAAATATTTAAATTAATTATAAAGACAATAAAATTTAACTTTCTTATTGAAATTAAATATTTTCTTAATATCTTAGATTATTTTTACTTTGATATTTCGGTGCGAATAGCAGAGCAATTTTCAACGTAAACAGGGGGTAATCCTCTTTGAAGTCATTTTCTGAAAACTTTTGTTTAATTTTCAGGCAATTTATTTTCAAATAAAATCACACTTAAGTTTGAAGGTATGTTTAGATGCCATGTCTCTAGTCTGTTGAAAATTCGATGCGATAATCTGACCTAAATTTTCTCTTCAATATAGTGAAAACTTCTTCAATACTATTGAAACATCCTGTCGTGCATACATCTGTATCAAATTTATCGGTGCAAAGCGTAAAATACCTTTGCAAAACGGACACCTTCTTTACAAAATAATTTGTAGTTTTATCATTTGTAACTCGATTTTGAAAATTTAAAGTTTTTTAATGGAGAAGAATGATACTTTAGTGCAAAAATAGAAAATACATTCCGTAGACCTGTTCTTATCGGCGATAAAGAAATGCAATACGACAAAATCGGCGGTAAAGTTCCGCGGCGCTGAACATAAAATGACTGAACGGAACGCATACCCTACTTGTAAAAATATATCGTAGCTTAACCATTTATAATATAATTTTAAAAATTTAATGTTCAGTTTCAAATAATAAAGCTCATCTGTTCTCACCGATTATTAAAAAAATGAATACAATAAAATCGGCACGTAAACGACATAATAATAGAATTGACGGAAATTGTTGCTTATTATAAGTAACAAAGGTAGGCATGCATACTTCTCTTCAGATAGCAAGAGACCTTTACAAAATTTGTAATTTTTTTTTTTTTTTTTTAAACCCCAAAAACAAAGGTCATTCCTGATTGATACAGGGTCCAGGAGAGGTTATCCTGGAATATTGAATTTTGTATCAAAATTCTGTAAATGAAAAAAGTAACCAACCCAATTTCGAACTCACGGGAACAAGTTTATAAGCATGCTAAGGCAACTCTAGAAAACGTGGTCATATGGGTGTGCGATCACGTGTTTCAATGTATATTGCATTTGATACAGCTTTTCGGAATTTGTACAGTAAACTTCACTTATAACGAACACGGATATAGCGAACTTCCGGTTATAAGGAACAATTTATTTTGGCCCGAATTTTGCCCTTCTTTATTTAATATAAAAATATACGGTTATAGGGAACACGCTTATAAGGAATTATCGCTTATAAGGAACTCATTTCTTAGTCCCAATTTAGTTAAAAGTACAGAAAATTACACTTTTATAACGAACTCGAAAATATTGGCTATTCGTAAATAGAACCTGCATGTTCAACTTTCGTTTTCATTGCTGCCGAATGTACCGTTTATTGTTGAATGAACTTCAATACATCTATGAAAATGAATTTGTATAGCAGTACGTAAGAGTTTTCTATTTAGGATATTTTAGCATGAGTTCTTTTCACCAAAATAAAACGGTTATTCCTTTAATTCTTTCATTTATCTTTTCTTAAATAGTTTTGTTCGAGTAGAATAATTATGATAATCTATAATCCGTTTTTTTAACATAATCAGCATGCTTGCAAGCATAATCCATTGAAAACATTAAAGTAGGCTCGATTGAAATGGAAAGAAATCTATATATTTTATCAGTTAAAGCACGGATTTATATTATAAATCCGTGATTAAAGTCACCCTTAAAATATAAAAGAAGATATTCAATATGAAAGAAATGAAAAATCAAAAATCTTGTTTATTCTCAATCATGGAAGGAAAACGAAAAGCCTAGGCCCCGTGTTTACAAATATAAAAGGATAGGATCAAATTTGAAAGCTCTATTTTCCTTCATTTTTTATCCTCATAGATAAAATATCTAATATTAATTTATTAAAACTGGACTTGTACTAGCAAATTAATGAAATTTTAGAATAAATTAATTGTTATTTGTACATGATACGGCTATTTTACAGTTGAATCAAATATTGATCCTGATCCTAAAATTGATCCTTATTTTGATCCGAATATTTTTGTACATGTATTTGTTTTGTTATTTGTAAATAGTTTGGTTTCTTTGTAAATCAGCAATTTTTAACATTTTGAATATTTACCATTTAAGTCTAGCAAAAGAAACATAAAACAATGAAAATAAAATCAGGATCATTTGATCCTACATGATCATGATCCTTTCTTTGTGAATCAAATGCTCTTCACAAAGGCGCACGATGGTAAACAATCAGTTCGTTATATGTAAATATGTTCGCTATACAAGGAACTAATTCGCTATATGCTTAGAAGGAACTTCGGATATAATGAACAAATTTTGAATGTCCCAATGAGTTCGCTATAAGCGGAGTTTACTGTAGATGCTTATGACAGAAACTAAAAATGCGACCGAAATATGAAGCCTTAATAGAATTTTTATTACATTTTCCATTTTTTGTGGAACAAATGAGTGACCTCTGCTTTTGACTTAAGTTGTAAACAAGAAATGTTGTTGGACGTTATTAGCATACCTAGCACATAATTTAATAGCTGAACCAATATGCAATATGCCTGCAATGAAAATACAACTGCGTCGTATCATATTTTATTTTCAACTGCGTCGTATCATTTCGTAAAAATCATTATTTTCTTGGAAAATAAACAACTCTTTTTAATGAAATTTTAGTAAATGGTGCAAACTCATATTTTGAAGTTTATGCTGAACTCTGAAACGAGTATACAATTGATTTGAAGGAAAAAACGATGTATAAAGCAATATGAACTGCGTCGTATCCACACATTTTCACATAAATTCTGCTCCGCTTCGAGTTGCAAGTTCGCTATAACTTTTGTTTTACAAAATAATTGTGCAAGCAACATATACCGAACGAAGCGGAAAATAGTGTAGCGTGTTAATATATGTATCTATTTTTCAGTCATTTCCAACAAAAATATATACCGAACGAAGCGGAAAATAGTGCAGCGTGTTAATACATATATATGGCTTTCAGTCATTTCCAACAAAAATAGTTATAATCAAAAACATACGTATTTCGTTCCAAGATGGCGGCGTTTGTTTACATTTTGTAGGATACGACGCAGTTATGATTCCCAGCCCTGATATATAATACATTTCATGGTAAATAGATGATCAGGCTATTTCTTATATAATCAAAATATACGATTTTTTCAAAGGAAAGTAAAAGACAGGGTTCTATGAATAAATATTAGTAATACATGTAGTTACACCGCCATGTAAGTTTGGTTTTGTTGCTGTTGTTTTTTATGATGGCTGATTTTAAATGTTCTTAGAATTTCATCCATGTTTTGATGAATTTTCTTTCCGTGTATTCTTAATTAGCATCATCCGTTATAAGACCGCATGTACGCACGCGGTCTAGAATGGAAGCGCAAGTCGTATTCTTGGTACTGGTATACAAAATCCAAATTGTAATGTAAAAATAACTGGGGAAAAAATTAGAAAAACGGTCTTATACTTAAGATGAACTATACTCTCACTGAAAGTATTATTTTAGGAAAGAAAGATGCAGAAGTTGACTTTGATTCGATATGCAACAATAATATAATCGTCGTATATATCCCTTAATGCAGAATTGTTAAAATAATGCAGGATTGTGCAAATTCAGACATAGTTGTGGAAATAAATACCGAAAACTAGTATCTTAATTATGAAGCTATATAGTTCGGCAAATGTGTTAGGTATACCGAAAAGCAAAAGAAAGGATTAATGTGCGTTGTTATACTCATTAATATCGGCGAAACACAAAACTTCAACGCCAGAACAGTCGCCAGTTCGTTTTTCTCACAAATAATCTGGAATATATGTTATGAGGGCCCTTAAAAGCCCGTTTCGTAATTTAATTTCGATTAAATTTTTTAAAAATTTATATATCGACCCTTTTTCCTATTCAAATTTGGGTCATTTTTCCCCCCCCCCCCCCCATTCAGCGTTTTTTTTCGGGTATTGTGTACTGTAATGCCGATTTTCCCTGGGACTTCACTTTTTTTTCTAGGGTATAGAGAAAAATAAAAACAAAAAACGGTGGGTATCTATTTACAAAACCTTTTTATCCGGGCCCGGGGGAAGTGTTTTAAACTAGCCCCGTTTTTTAACCCAAAGGGAGCGGTAGGTAAAATTTGATTGAGTACACTGGTATCATATCAGGTTATTTTTGTAAAGAAAAAGAAGCTCATTTCGATGGTTATACATTTTCTGTTATATTTAACAGGTGATGCTT